CTAAACTAACATTGTCCAGCGAATCTGCTTGTAGTTGCAAGGACAACTAATTTAAATTATCTGTCGCTATGACTTCTCGGATGTTATAAAAATATTTATATTCTGCAATTAAACCAAATCAACAACATCAAAATTTCACTATTAAAAAAAAATTGATTTAACTGACTTTTTTTATCATTTTGGTGTCTATTTTACACTATTCAAGTATTTAAAAAATATGAACATTAGCAAGGAGAAAACGATGCAAATAAGGAAAAAAATTGATAGTTGGTTTAAAATATTATTTTTTTTGTGCAATTGGTTTCACTTATTTTTTTATGGGTCATTGATATTTTTTATTGGTAATTGGCTTGACTTTGAATGTTTTAGTTTTTTTTGTGCGATTGATATCACTTGTCATTTTTTATTAGTGATTAGCTCGACTTTGATTTTTTTTTATTTTTTTGGTGTAATTGATATCATTTGTTATTTTTTATTAGTGATTAGTTTGATTTTGAACTTTTTTTTTATTGGTGATTAGCTTGGCTTTGAATATCTACAATCTGAGAATTTTTTTTTAATATTTAAATATTTTCTTATCTATAAAATCATACAAATTTTTTGAATAAAAAAGTAAATTAGGATTGTCAAGACAAACAAATAATGCTAAGAGAAAAAGTATGCGATAACATTGTTTGTCCTGACGATCCTAATTAGACTTTCATTTTATCTCATCTATGTATATATAAAGAGAGAAAGAGAGAGTATGAGAGATGAGAGAGTGTGTTTAAAATGTCTGAGGGAGAAAGAGGGAGAGTTATATGAGAGTTAGGTGTATGAAATAGAAAGAGAAAGAAAGTTATATTAGAGATGAGAGTCTTAAAATTTTAAAAGGAATAAAAATTTAATTAGAATTATTGGATCAATAATCCTCAAATGATCTGAGCCGCAAAAACTTAAAGACAAAAAAATCTAACTACTTGATTTTATATATATATAAAATCGTCAAGAATTTAAGCATTAGAGTTTTGCAGTGAAGTTCTAGCAATCTACTTTTGTCCACCATTACATTTTTTTTTTGTCAGATCCACCACCAAGTTAGAAGAAGCAGATTTTGATGAGCCCGCCCCAAGCCCCAACTCAGATGATGGGCTAGGCCCAATGAGTCTGGCCCAAAAGAAATCCAAATTTAGACGAACTCACCAAATCCCAATCAACCAAGTCATCCCTGGAGTCAAGGATTTAGCCTAGTAACCCTAAAAAGTCAGCCACATCATTTATGAGATCCAATCTGCAATTGGTAAAGATATTTCTACGTCATCTCCACGCAACTAACCCGTCCGTTGCGAGAATGGTGCTTCTTCCACCAAATTAGTCTATTTGTTACTGATGTGGTGCCTCAATATATTAGGAAATGTGTATAAATTATATGTCCCACTTACACATAGAGGACAACTCACATATACTCACACTTGAGCACTTTACACTCTTTGAAGTAATAAAACACCCATGTTATCCTAACTATTCATAGTAGAGTATGTCACATTAACGGAACCATTTAAATTGTATTTTGCTTAAATTGACTCTCATCATTTATTACTTGCTTTAAATAATTGACAAATGGTGCATAAAATCCACTTTTATCCACCGAGGCAGATTGTCTATACTTATATTCAAATTATAGTTAAATGAGATTAAGTTTCGATTCTAATAACTCCAAACAATCAATAGATAGTATAATTATATACTAATTATATTTTTTTAAGAAAAAAAATAAATTTAATTTTTAATTTTATATTATTAAATTTTATAATAGAACATGAATTTTGGTTATAAAAATTAAAATATTTTATATTCTATATTTAATTAGAATATTTTTTGTATAAATATAACATTTTAAACTTGAACGATGTAAGTATTATATACCTATAAATTTTAGGGGGTCTAAGTATAATTTGTCAGCGGGTATATTAACGGATATATGACGGCAGAGGTCTATGTGTTACGCACGTACAAATTTCAGGGGGTCTGTGTATAATATTTTAAATGTTAAGGCTCTAAGTAATTAAGTGACAAACTTTAAAGGATCTAAGTGTAATTATCCCTTAATTTTAACTAGAATGGTTAACCATCATTGATACTGATATAATAAAGCAATAGAAATAATAACATACAAAATTATTGAATAAAAAATAAAAATATGGTATCGAAAAATTAAGGATAAATTACACAAAACTTACCTAAACTTAGGGGCAATTGCACATACCCCCTCAACAATTACAAGTTTTACTAAATCCCTCTAACTTGTGAATAAGTTGCAAATGTTAATAGAGGTAATAGTTTATACAAAAAAAAAAAAAACTAAACTATCTCTAATTGTAATCTATTTTTCTTTGTGATGCCATCATTATAGAACTCTTATCTTTAAAAAATAAAACCTACAACTAACACACTTTTACCACTATAGTCGCATCCTATCACCCCAACCCACTTCCAACTCTGATACCACTACACCCCACAAATCCTTCTCCACCACCGCAACTAACCACCAGCCTGTTACCACAAATGCCATAGTTGGTCAAAACATGCAATATTTCCCACGACGACGGAAAAAGAAAAGCAAAATTATTGGTTCTACCGAAGATTTGAGACTTCCTAACTCTTTGGAAATGGAGTCAGATTCAGGCCTACACATGGGTTTCCAGCTCATCAAAAACGACTTTTCCCAGCTCATGACAGAATTTTGCAACTCACCATTCAAGTTCCACTCTCTCTTCATCCACCATTAACAAATAGGCCGGTCATCAAAGCTTCTGTTCTGGACAGGTTAAAACTCGGAATAATATTAGACTGACTAAATTTTGAAATTAAATTTAAAGTTCAAATGACATGGTAGTTGATTATTTGAAGTTTTTATTGGGACCCAAATGATATGACATCAATCAAAGAAGTTCAAGTCAACTGCTATGTCATTTAGACTCTAAATTTGATCCCAAAATTTAGTCAGTCTAGTATTACCGTAAAACTCTTCATATACTTAGATCTTAATAAGTTTTGGTAAGAAAGAGATTTAAAGGAAGAAGAAAAAGAAAGAGGAGAGACAAAAAAAGTTTTGGAGCAAAAATGAATAAAAAAAAAAGGGCTCGTAGTCTTAGGATATAGTATTTGACTTGCTAAAAGATCTAGGAAAAATTTGAGCTTCACCACTAAAATATGTTGATTCAAATCAATAATTTTACATTACTCAAATTTTAACTCTAATATACATAAAATTTAAGTCGTCGTTGAATAGTGTGTTTGTCTATTTCTCAATGCCCATAATTCACCATTCACACTAATATATAGCTCCCTAAATATTGTTGAAAAATAGTGCAATCCATCTACCAAAATGGTTTTTAATATTTTGACTACCCAGGTGGTAGTTTAGTTAGCTTCAATAAAAGGTGAAAGTCTCACCCCTCCTCTAGTGGTCTTAGGTTCGAATATATTTGCGGTAATATTGTAGTAGTCTTTGTGAACCAAAATATTGTAGGATGGGTTGAATGTTCAACTTGTTCTCAATAGTGTTGTGGTAACAGTCTCAACTATCTCATGTTATTAATTGTGGTTTAAATCGAATATTTTACATTTTTATGTTGTTAGTATGTTAAAGCTAATATAAGTGATTAAGACATAGGCATTAACTTCTAGGGTTTTAGTTGCAAAATTAAAATTCTGGGGCCCTAACCAAAATACACAGAATGTTGGGGGGGGGGTGTGAGAAATATTTTTAGTTGACAAACGCAGAAGCACAAAGTTACAATACAAAAAACCTGCAATTGGCACGTGGACTCTCTACAACACGACTAGGCTGCGATGCTCTCGCAACGCTCTTGGGATATCGTGCCTCCCAAGCTCCGAACGACGCGTTGACCGTTGTTGTCCAAGGTTGGTGCGGTCATTACGAGGTTACGTACAAAAAGAGAAAAAGGATTATCAAGGGAAAATAGAAAAGTAGACAAGAAAATTAATTGAAGTTTGATAAGTATTTTCAAACGCCCCATAATTTAATAATTTATTGAATTACATAAAATTATCGATTCAAAATTGCACAAAGTTTTCCCAATCAAAATGAATACTCGATTAATGACGAATTTAAGTAGGTGTAATTGGTGAAAATTAAGTCATTTCTATATTATTTTGAGGATTTATGCATTATAATTTTTTTGGAAGTTATTATATGATTTGTTTTAATAGAGTATCTAATTATATAGAAGAAATACTTATTTGGCTATTGTAAATCTAAATTAGCTCAATGTGAGTGTCACACCAATCAAATTATGACCCAGTAGAGAGCCAATGAATCCACAATTAAAAACATGAAAATAAGATTCACGTCAATGTATATTTCAAAATATATTTATTTAATATTATAATTAAGAAGTTAAAATTTTAATTTATAAAAGAATAATAATAGACAAGATTAATATAATTTTTATCTATTTTGATCCATGAGAAAACTTGACAATTATCGATATTGAATTGAAATGGGTTGATGAAACCAATTTTGATTAAACTCAATGAATTGAAATGGGGTTGATGATGATTAGTATCTTGGAAACATGGAAATTCATGGAGATAGATATTGGAGTTTGATGAGATGTATTGGAATAAATATTGGAAAGAGGAAATTTGTGAATGTATTATCTATTGTACTTGAGAGATATGATAAAAAAAAAATAGATAAAAATAACCCAATTGAGTCGTAGATGAGAGTCACATAGGTTTCATTTTCTGTTTTAAAGGAAAAAATAAATAAAAAGGCTGATAGCAATGAAATTTAGTGACCAATTATATGCCACAAGGAAGGGAAAACAAATCCAAAAGTTATCACAAATGGGAATAACAATTTCCATTATGCTCTGTCTCCCTCTAGTATATTCCCTTTGATCTCTCTCTCTCTCTCTCTCTCTCTCTCCAATTTACCCTTTTTCTTGTACTGTCCAATACCATCCCACCTAAAAAGTGCCAACTTTAAGTAGCAAACAAAAAGAATCGTGAAGTCCACCCTCCGCAGCCTCTGCGGGCTTTATATTCCTCCTCCAAAAAACCTACCTCAAACCAATTTTCTTTTCTCGTCGCCCAACTAACGTAGACAGAGAGACAGGGAGACAGCGAGACAGGCAGAGAGACAGCGGTGAACGGAGTAGAGAGTTGAAACCCACTATGTCGATCCCCACCGCCAACTTCAACTCTCTTAACTCCAGCCACCGTCCACACCTCCCCAACCTCAATCCCCACCTCCCATCTCTCTCCTCTTCATCGCTTTCCCTTCACCTCCGATCCACCATCCCGAAAACTCTCTTCCTCTCGTTCCCACTGACGACCCACCTCCACAACCGCCCAGTCCTAGCCTTCTCTGGTGGTGATAACATCAATGGCGGAGGAAACAAACACGACTCCGGCGACGGAGGCGGCGGAGATGGAGATCATCATGATAAAAATAAGGTGGGGGCGATCTTGGCGTTGGCGGAGATAGGGCGGACATTGGATTGTTTACCCAAGGATTTGAAGGCGGCGGTGGATGGGGGGAGAATACCGGGATCGATAGTTACGAAGTACTTTGAGCTCGACAAGTCGGCGTTTTTCCGGTGGTTGATGCAATTTGGAGGGTTTAAGGAGAGGTTGTTGGCTGATGATCTGTTCTTGGCCAAGGTTGGAATTGAGTGCGGTGTCGGAATGTTCACTAAGGTGATGTTTCTCTTTTATATTTGAGTTTTTGACATTGCTACTGCAATGTTGATGTGATTCATGAATTATACCCATGACCTCCCTTAACGGTGTGTTTGGTAGGTAGATGGAAAAATTAAACTTTTGAATTACATTGAACATTTGATTCAACACACCATTAACCAGTCCCTATGTCATCAAAATAACTTTAGTTTAGGACGTATTTTATCTATTAATTCTCTACTATTGTAATAACATCCTATTATATATATAGATGAATCGTACCCATGTCCATATCCTACTTTTTAATATTTTTTCGCACCATCATATCTTTATTGTGTCTTATCGCTTCTTAGATGAAAATGTAAATTAGATTTAATTTTGCAATCAAGATAGCCCCCAGAAATTTGCAGCACTGAGTGCTCTTAGTGAATTAGTTCTACCGTGAGGGTTGGAATTGGTACTATATTCATCATGTGGGTAATAATTGCTAAAGTGGCTTCCATTATGCAAAAGTCTGAAATAAGGGAACCGTTTCAGTACAAATTTGTTGGAGAGTTTAGGTAGTGTGATGCATAAGAGCTCTATTAATTTAGGAGCTGGAATTATGTAAAACTGAAGTTTATCTGCAAAACACTCTCAAAAGTTGTAATTGTTTGTTTAAATCATGTACTGATTATCAAGGACATTGTATCTTTAAGACAAATATGGATCAGTAGAGAAGTGCTGCTTCATTATTGTTTAATCAAAATGAGAGAAATAAGACTAAACATGTTTAATGTTATAGAATGGTCGTAAGACAAACAAGAAAACACTGCATACCGAGTGTCATGGGAATGACCTTAACGCTAAGAGTTAATGTGACCATAAGGGATGTGTATAATGAAATTATATGTTGTTTCATCTGTTAAAGTGTATGCATTGGTAGGCAAAAACTGGGTTTCTTGCATGCGTTTTCCTGTTGTCTTGATTATTATGTGCTCAAATAATGCAGTTTGTGTGTGTTTCCTTGTTTTTTTGGCTTCACTGTTTCATACAGTTCAATGCACTTGCACTCTGGACAATTATGTTCAAGTTTAGGGTAGTTAAATAATGACCAATTAATTACTTATTCATCTTGCAGCTGAAACATGTTAAAGTTCAGCATAATGGAACTTATGCTGGGTAGGCCAGTTTTGCAACTTGGCTAAGCCAAATTTGTGCCCCCTAAAATTAATCATGTTGAACCAGTCTTTGTTTTAATAATGCAGCACTCGAGCTGAACTTCATTATCATTTCTCTGCAAGCTACCTTCTTATAATTTTGTAGCTGTTGAGGATGAGAAGATAAGAAACAAATTGGTGTATCACTGTTACTGCTTTCTATGCTTAAGCTCATGTTTCTCCCCCCCCCCCCCCCCCCCCCCCCCCCCCCCC